TCCCCCTTGAATCCGGGCTTCTGCCTTTTCAAGGATTCCACAGGGAGGGCGTGGTGGAAGACCCCTGATCGACCCCATTGGCTGAATTGAGTTTACCTGGCTAGGTGAGTCAACTCAAGTTCACGCCCACCCCTGCCTACCATTGGGAAACCTGGGCATGTGCAGTGCGCCACTCCTTTGTTCCCCTAGCTTGGCCCTCTGGGCATGCGTTAGCGGACATTCCCAGCCCTTTGCTAACCTACCTAACCATTTCACTTGGTATTCTGTGTACAATAGCACTATGGAAAATTTGAAATGTCATGAGAATGACCAAAATGTGACACAGAGACACAAAGTGTGCACCTGATGTTAGAAAAAAAATGGTACTGACAGACTTGTGTTACCTTTAAAGAGTATAAACCTCAACTTTGTAGTGAGCCTCATTCACACCCTGTTTATCTTGTTCCTTCTACCTGTGGATTTTTAAAAATCATTTTATTTTTTAAATGCATTTTATACCTGTGGAATTTTTATAACTGTCTGTATTGCTCAAGGACAGACACATGGCCTGTAGGCCAGTTGGACTGCCTGGGGGGTTGTTCAGCCAGGAAAGATGGCTTGTGCATCATCACAAATGCTACTCTCATTGCTTTACTGGTTGTCAGTATGCATATCTTGTTATTATCTTGTGACTTAAGTAATATAGCCAGAAAATAAAAACAAAAACAAACAAACCCACTGCCATTGAGTGATTCCACAGGGTTGAGTAGAACTGTTATCTAGGGTTTTAGAGGGAGGCTATAAACCTGTACAGGGATCAATAACCTCACCTCTCACCTGCTCCCATGACCCACTGTTGATCTTTGGGTGAGAGGCCAACCAACTAACCACCAGATCTCCCCAGTCAGGTAAAGCACCTGGAGCAGTGTGCGCATCCCCATGTAAAGTCTGAAACGATATGTCCGCATTCTGATCCTGGGAAAGACGGGCTTTCTGCTCCCGGAGAGAGTTACCATCTCGGCACTGCAGGGCAGTTCTGCCCTGTCCTACAGGGTCACGAGTTGGCATGACTCGACAGCAGTCAGTTTGGTGTGGTTTTTATTCTGATCCCAAGTGAGACTTCCTTTAGCCCGCTGGTGCCATCTTCTAATGCCACTTCTTTTCTTCCTGCCTTACTGGGAGTTGGTGAATTTGGCTCCCCGGCTCTGGGGCAGGGAGCTTTTATACAGGGGTAAGGGTTCCAGGCCCGGGGGGCCACAACCTTCAATTAGTCAAAAATAAAAACAAAACACACTATCTTTGAAGGTCAGTAAAACGAATGTATGCCTGGGTAAGTAACCGCGGTTTGTTTGTTGTTTTGTTTGTTTTTTATTTATTTATTTTTCTTAATTTTATTTTTTCTTTTTTAACATTTTATTAGGGGCTCATACAACTGTTATCCCAATCCATATACACATCAATTGTGTAAAGCGCATTTGTACATCGTTTCTCAAAACATTTTCTCTCCATTTAAACCCCCGACATTAGGTCCTCATTTTTCCCCTCCCTCCCCGCTACCCCCTCCCGCCTGAGCCCTTGTGTTTGTTTTTTCTTATGAGTAATGTAATACACCGATGACAACGGACTCCTAGGTCCGGAGATCCTGCGATCCCAACCCCCTACGCCCTACAGCCCTGCCCTCCGCACCGCCCACTCCCCCCACCCCGCGCGCCCCAGTTCATCTGGGTCAACCGATGATGATGATTTACTTCCCGCCAAGATAACCTGGGTTTCGGAAGTCACGTGCTAAGCAAAACGACACCTCGCTGGCCTTCCTTCTCGGAACTTCCCCGCAACTTCCTTACAGTTTCAGTGCTAACCCCACCTTTGGTCCCGCAGGACCCAATCCCCGCCGGACAACCCAGGAGTCCCGCCCTCTCTGCGAGCCCGCGGCCAGCTCCAGCCACTCAGGGGGGCCTGCTCGGGACGGTCCTTCCAGTAGCTCAAGGCCATGTCCCTCGACCCTAAAGGGCGACCGAAAGAAGCCTCCTTTCGTTTTCAGCCC